GGACTGAATTTTAAACCGAAGGTGAAACACGACGGTTTTCTACCACACACTTCTGTTTTGGCACGACGTGTTTCATCGTGGCGGTGAAAACCGTCGTGTTTCACCGTAGTGTATGGGGCCCTTTATTCTGTAACTTGCGACCGCAGAGAATTGCGCAATCGTCGCTGTCAAATCGTTGTCAAACGTGTGTTCTCTATATGTTTTCTATTCAAAAAAAGCAACTGGCGACCGGTTGCTAGTTGCTATGTAATTGCTGTTCGTTAGAGAATAAGCCTGCCGGTTAGTTTGCAATTTCAATAAGATATTTTCAAACTTACTAATTAGGGTTGCCAACTTTGTTTTTTCATTTTTCTGGACAAGGGTAATAAAATATCAGGACATACGGTATAAATTCTGGAATTTTTTTTTTATTGCTGAGAATAATACCATTCACAAACTTAAATAAAGAATTCAACAAAAAAAAAACATATACTGATACACTAGAAAAAAACTGTCCAACCAGAATTCTTTGGGTAAATAGGAACTAATAATTTAAAATTTTATTCCAAAATTATGCAGATTAACCAATCATTTGAAGAATATAAAAAGTGAAGTAAAGGTACTTACAAAAGTCTGTTCGTACATAAATCACAAACCAGTCAGTGTCAATTTCATTGGTTTAAACTAGATTTCTGACTGTTTTCAACCAATGAAATTCGCTCTAATTGGTTTAATGTGCGAACAGACCTATAGATACAGCCTCTAAAATTATTATCTTTTCTTTTTCCTTTTTTGCAGCTACCATTAACTTCTTGTTAGGTCCGTTCTCACAGGAGTCTTTGACAGTTGGCAACCTGTCAGGAACTATCGCTCAGGGTCCTTATTCTTGAAACAGGGGAGCAGCGTTCTCAGGAGAACGATTGTTCCGTCCTTGTTACCTATATTATCATTTCTATATCATTGAGAAAGACAAAACACTCGTTCTCCTGGGAACGCTGCTCCCCTGTTTCAAGAATAAGGACCCAGCTAAGCTACCAATTTATATTGGAACGACGGCATTGAAAACATGTATGTGCGATGCTCACTGACAGTTTGCAAACTGTTAGAACAGAACAAACCTGTTACCTCTAACAAAATCATGAAATTCTTTGCAAGTATAAGAATAATTATTCTATATTTGCAGTTCTGCCTTGATGTGTTCAATACACAATAGAAAATACAAGTTGCAAAATGATCCAGAAATTTTTCAACTCAGTATTAGTCAAAAATAATAAATTCCATTTTCAAGTAATGCATGATTTTCCTTATAACCAGAACCAGGTTTACAGCCGGCCTAATTTGACAGAGCTGTCCATTAAGTTAAAAATTAAGTACAATAGGCGTCCTGCAATAGGTCGTTACAGGACGCTGGACAATGAACCCCAAATGGTGGACGTCCACCGAAATGCAGGACGGTTGGCAACCCTATTACTAATACTAACCCGGTTAGTTTGGGTTAGTTTGCAATTGTAATCAAACATTAAAACTTACTGATAATAATCCGGGCTAGTTTGCACTTTCAAGCAGAAATTACCAAACTTACCGATAATAACCCGGTTAGTGTGGGTAAGTTTGCAATTTCAATCGAACATAACCATTTAGTTTTCAAAATTTGTGTTAGTTTGAAATCTATTGTAATCAAACATTACCAAACTCAAACCTACCGAGAATAACCCGGTTAGTTTGGGTTAGTTTTCAATTTTAATCAGACATTTTTAAACTTACCGATGTTCCTGGTTAGTTTGGGGTTTAGTTTGCTATTTCAATCAAACATTACCAATAATAACCCGGTTAGTTTGGACATGCTTCAAAATTATTCATTTTCGAAAGAAGTTATTCAAAGTCAATATGTTCCAAATGGTTGATTTTTGAAATGAAAGCATTCGGAAAAAAAAATCGCAATTTTTGTTTTCGAAAAATAAACATAGACCTGTAATGTCTGAATAAAATTGCGAACTAGCCCAAATTGCGGTACTTAAATTTGGTAATGTCTGATTAAACAGAAAAAGTTTAAACTAGAACATGAAAATATTTTACAATACCTATCAGCATGGCTTTGCGCTTTCGTATTTTTGAGTAATATAAGGAGGTTTTTTTTTCTAAAAAAGGAGACTATTTAACACCCTATCCAGTGTTATTCACCTCCTGTGAGCGCGCGGGGCCGCTTGAGCAAAAACCGTCCCGGGCCGATTCAAAGTTGCCCATCCGCCCCTGAGAATACCTCTCTCTTTTTTCAATATATAAGTTGAAAAAGGAAAACGAATAACTTCTAAAAGATGAGCACTGGCAACGTAGCAACAAACTTTTGACTTTCTTGTTAATAGACCTGTCTCGCATAAATAGAAAAAGAGAGCTTAATTATAATAAATACAAGTTAGAAAGTAATAAAAGATGACATGCGCGCGCAACTCGTAGGTGCAGAGTAGCCATATTGTATTGTCGCAGAACAAATGTAGACAATACAAATCGAACATTATAACATTAAAGAAGTGACATAGTGTCAAGTGTTTTGCAACGCCTTAAATCAGACAAAAGAGGCGCTTGAAAAGTATATGTTAAAATCGTTTGCATTTTTATTTTGATATAATGTTCATGACAATGAAATTGCAAACGAATATGTCAAGTAGGTATAATCTAACATAACCTTAAACGACACTGCGGTGAGTTCAAGTAATATGTAAAGTATTAGTTTGCTCTTTGTCAAATTACACGTCAGAAAGAAAGAAGGAACGATTCATTTTGAACTGGCCCCTGAAAAAGAATATGACGTAAGCCTGTAACAAACCTGCTTCTCATTGGACGCTCACCTGCAGCCTACAAGCGGCGCGCGCAGTCCAGGTAATAGGAGATCGGTCTATTAGGCTCTCCAATTGGAAATTATTGGCAATTTCAAATATTACGTTGAACTACAAAAGTCATTAATAAATTACGTAAATTACAGGAATTATAAAAATAAAAAATAACGAATATTACAAAAAATCACGGAAATTTCAAAAAAATACGGGAATTAGAATTATTGAAAGATTAGGAGAATTATAAAATTACGAAAAAAAATCATGGAAATTTCAAAAATTATGTAAAATTACGAAAATTATTGGAAAATTACGTAATATGGAAAAATATTAACAAAAATCACAAAAATTTCAAAAAATCATGGAAATTACATTGATTATTAAAAAAATTGAGAGAAGAATTATAAAATTAGAAAAAAATCGAGTTAAAGTTAAAGCGCTCGTGAAAATCCGTCATTTCGTTTTCGAATTATAGCAATTTAAAGATTGCATTACCATAATTTGATGTTTAGTAGTGTATCTAAGGCCGAAGGGCCTAAATCCAAAAAGTGGCAAAAACGTCTAGAGATATTGGTGTAACCTTAGCAACGAACCATATTATAGCAACTAAAAAATTTTTTTGTGCTACACATTCTGTAAGTTGACTTTTTTGACCTACGTCCATGAACTGTAAATGTCACTTACAGTCCGGGTCAAAAAAGTTACTTTTTTGACCGGGTCAAAAAAGTTACTTTTTTGACCGGGTCAAAAAAGTGTTGATATGAAAGGTGAAAATTGCTTGGTTCATGTCTCTGTCAAAATAATGCCACAAAAACACTCGACTTCTTAAATATAAAACCTAAAGCAAATTAAGGATACAATTTTATTGAAATAAATAGAAAATACCTGGACGTCAAAAAGTTGAAATTAGCATAAACAGATAGGTAATAATATAAAAATGAGATAGGTACTTCATCGTTATTTACTTTGTAATTTTGAAAGTAAAAGAAACATTTTTATTATCTTGAATGTACGGTAGCACAAAAAATATCATATGCACCTCGACTTGTAGCGTGTACTTTTTTGGCCTCAAATGCTTGCAAACCTCAGCCCTACGGGCCTCGGCTTGCAAACTGCATCCTCGGCCAAAAAAGTAACACTTACAAGCCTTGGTACATAAATAACTATTTTGCCAAAGTGTCACACACACGAAATTTTTGCTTTTTTGCATGACATTGCTTATCACCTCGTATATCATGAAAATAGCTTTCCCACCAAAAATGTGTGATATGCAGCCTAGTCTAGAAGAGACGCGCTTTTGAATGTCGCAGACCGCGTTCAAAAATATTTATTTTTAAAAAAGTTACAGCTGTTTAAAAATAGGGCAAAAAATTGAATGGACCGAACTTAATGTTGACCAGTTTATTTGGGACTCTGATTTTTTAAGAGCCTGTATTTCAATGTCACCTTAAGATATGGAATAAACATAGACATTGAAAACATTGTCTGACCTTGTTTGATGACGTCATCCTAAATGTTAATAGGTATAAGATAAAAACCGTATATTTTAAGGTAAGTCTTGATTTTAACAATAATTGCGAACGTGCTCTATGAATTATTCAACGACAAATACTTTTTTCTTAATTATGACGTCATCGATGACGTGAGTAAGTACAAAAAGTGCAAAAAAAATACATAAAATAATTTGTTAGGTAGTGCTATGGTGGGATGCCGAATAGGAGTGCTAATTTTTGCTTTAGGGGTGCTTAGCACCCCCCAGCATTCTCCTAGTTGCGCCTATGGTGATAAATTTACCTGCACCTGTGGACATCGGATTGTGAACAGGATATAATTATTCATACCACTTTTGAAAATGGTGAATTCACAATTCAACGTTTAAATAAAAATTTTAGGAGTGTTTTTTGAACGACTTTTGGGTCGAAATTTGGGTTAGTTTGGGTTACTCCTCCGGTGGGGGGCTTGTGATGAGCCCGCAGAAATGTTGGCACACAGGCCCGGAGCTGGGTTGATACGCCACTGCATGACGTCACATCAAAACTGGTTCAAACCGTTTCGAAATACAATCCAATCCACGTTTTTAAACCATTTTCTCGCACTGAGAAGTTATGACGTCAGTTGACACTGTTGTAAACCAGTTTTGAAAAACGTTTTAAAACATTTGAGACGCGAGAAAACATCTTTTATTTCATCAAACTTTCTTATATTTTTCAAAAACTTTGACTCTGCTAATACAATCCAGATGAAATTAGCTATAACAAACTGAAGAAAACACATACTATAATATGTATAAATATTTGTATAAATGCTTCTTCAAATTTCCTTCCCATTTCAATTATACAAAGACACCATGATAACACATCTAAAATAAAATTTATCTCAATGTATGATTGTGTGGTCGGTGTCTCCTTCCTACCTTTCTATCCAAATTTCCATACAAGAACGAGAGAAAAAATATTGAAATTGGTACAACATTATTTCAAATATTTAAATTTCTTGAAAGAAAAACACGTAAAAAACTAAAATTTCGCTGGTATGTTGTTGTATGTTTCCTCAATGTGTGGTTTACAATAAATAATTCCTTTTGACTCTTTTTGTTCGTATAAGCTAATTGGTTCGAATGTGTTTTTTTAAATGTTGCTTCAAACTATCTTTTCGACTATATTTTTTGTGACAAATATCACATTCAAAATTCCCTTTATCTAAATGTGTTACTAAATGGCTTCTTAAATTCTTATTCTGTCTAAATTTCTTGTTACAGATATCACATTCAAAATCAAAGTTAGTGGAATGTGTACGTAAATGCGTTTTCAAATTATACTTTCGTTTGAATTTTCTGTGACAAATAGTACACTCAAAACCATAGTTTTGTGAATGTGTCACTAAATGCTTCTTCAAATCACTTTTGAATTGGAATTTGCCATGACAAATATCACATTTAAAATCGTATTTATTTGAATGTATCACTAAATGCATATTTAAATTTTCTTTCCATTTAAATTTCATATGACAAATATCACAAGTGAATAAGCGTTCATTTGTATGTGATATTAGATGGTGATTTAATTTAGATTTATATTTAAATTTCATGTCGCAAGTATCACATTTGAATTCTTGCTTACTAAAACTCTTTGATTCTTCTTCAAATTTAATATTAATATTGGAGTATTGTTCTTCTTTTATGAAAAATTCATTAGCGGAGTCCAGCGAGGAAATTTCTCCAATGTCAAATTCTGGTTTGATATAAACTGATGAAAAATTTTGTGTTGAAACCCTGAAAAACGTATTTATTCAAAAACTAATTTATTTTCTCTCTACGTTATACTAAAATTGGTACTGAATTAGATTACTTACTCGTGTAAATTTTCTGAATCGTCTTCAAGTTTTACATTGATATTAGATAATTGTTGTGGTTCACTTAGAAAATCTCCATTAGTGGATTTCAGTAAGCAAACATCTTCAATTTCTACTTTGATATCCATCACTCAAGTTGGTTGGACTATAAAAGCTAGAAATTGATAAACAAATATAAGAATTTAGAAACAATCAAATAGAAGAGGCTTGAAGGAAGCATGTCACTAATGATAACAATCCTTAAAATGCGAAATACAACTGGCTACATATTTAAAATATCTCTGGGGCTGTGAAAAATTATGCTTCCAAAGCTGAATTTGTTTGAAACGAATTGGTATTTTTAAAAACATTTTAAAATGTAACAGAACACCGAGCAGAACACTTTAGAACCAATTTAGAATTTCAGAGACATTTTAGAACGGACCAAAACTTTCGGTAACATTTTAGAAAGCTTTTGGAACAAATCATATGGAACTTCTGGAAATAATCGAGAACTAGAAACTTTCAAAATATCTTGAATATCTTCACATGACTTAAAACTTTCATGAACTAGAACACTCCAAAACACGTTCAGGCATTAGAATTTTAATTAAGAGTATCAAAGAGCGCTTAAGAATATTTGGGAAATATCTGATAACTTCTAGAACATTCTGGCGCTTCAAGAGCATTATAACCAAGCAACCAACTGAAAACTTAAGAAAGCATTTTGGAAAGCTCCAGACTACGCTCAACCAATTTGGAACATTTTTAAGCATTTTGAGAGGCTCTAGAGCAATATAACTTTGATAAACTTCAGAAGGTTTCAAATTCAATTTTCAATTCTCCTGTATTTGTTTGGGATAAATTGGAACTTGCAAGAATATTGTCAAACGCTACAGAACACATTAGAGACTCAAATTACAATTACAGAAATATTCTAGAATGGACCAGAACACTCCAGAACTTTCAGGAACATTTAAGAAAGCTTTATATCCAAGGAACGTTCTAGAACACTTTACAAATCATATGGAACTTTTGAGAACAATTTCGAACTGAAAACTTTCAGAAAATCTTGAAAATCGTTACATGACACTTTGGAACTAACTTAACACTTTCATGAACATAGAAAGAACACTTTAAAACACGTTCACAAGTTAAATTTTTGATCAAAATATCAGTACCAAAAAAAAAAAAGTAATAAAGAGCACTTAAGAATATTTGACAGCTTCTAGAACATTCCGGCGCTTTGAGAGCATCAGTATGGGTTTTAGAATTGTATTCAATTTTCTCTCTGTAAAAGTAGTATGTTTGATACATATAGTAAAGTACCAAATAAGATAATGATAATAATAGATATATAAATAAATAAATAAATAAATGAAAAAACAAAACAGCAACAATATTCCCTCGAAACAAAGAATCTTAAAAATTCAGGATTCTGAAAGTGTTCTAAAAAAAAAAAGGGAAACAGAAATCAGGATTTTTGAATAAAGGCAACAGGCAATAAAAAATCTTAAAAATTATTATAGAATTCAATATTTGAAAAACTGTGCTTTTTTCAGAATTCTGAGGATTTCAGGATTGTTGAACAAAGTCACCAAGGACATGTTGGAAATTTGTATAGTTCAGGATTTTGAAAACTAACTGTAGATGCTTCTCAAAAGAGATCACAAACAGGAATCAGGAAATTTGCAAAAAAACTGACTCAGAATTGCAAAGAATTATAGATGTATGCAACATCCTCTTTCAACTTAAAAGCGCTTTTTAAAACTGGTCACTTCTAAAAATTTGTAGGTACCATCGTCACCAAAAGTATCTGGGACAAAAATAATTCATATTAATCTCCTGGACTAGTTCTCCTGTCATTCATTTCAATGCATTTAATTTATAGTTTGACAAATATTTGACACTAAAAATCATATAATAGTGCCAGAGCTAATATCATGCTGTCCCAGTTACTTTTGGTGATTCCAAAAAAACACAAATAGGGGAAACACTCACACAGACTAAGGGGATTCCTTGTTGACCTCGATGATTTTACATAAAAATAAGTAGGTATGTACAAAATGTATTGTAAATTTCAGAAGCTCGGTTAATACGGAGTATAGACGCCCGTACCTCATATAATCAGGATCTTTGGGAAAATTTGGGTAGTCAGATTGACTCAGTTAATACAGAGTGATAACTGTGACTCGGATAATCGGAGTTCTAATGTATTTGTAAATTCCTGACTCTTGATTTGCTTTAAAGTTCAATTCCCAAATATTCCTGGCTCCTGATTGGCTCAATTTGAAGTTTTAAAATTCAATGTTCGAATATTTCCGAGTATTGATTGGTTTTGAAATTCAATTTTTAAATTTTCTCGGTTTTTTATTGGCTTAAAAAGTCAATATTTGTAAATTCCCGACTCTTGATTTGCTTTAAAATTTAATTTGCAAATATTCCCGGCTCTTGTTTGGCCTAATTTGATGTTTTAAAATTCAATGTTCGAATATTTCCGATTCTTAATTGGCTTAAAAATTAAATTTTTCAAGTTTCCCAACTTTTGATTGGTTATAAAAAAAGATATTCCAAATTGTAAACACCAGTTAAGAAGTAATATAGGCACATGCCACTAAATAAGAACAATACAAAAAATCTTACTGTTTTATATTTTTATACTCTTTTATATTTTAAGCTTATTTAAATAATAAAGTATGTGATACCAAAAAATTGCAAATTTTGTGTTCTACAAAAAAGGTTTCTTGCAAAATTTTCAAAAAACTTGTTGATTTTGAGAAAATTGCAAAAAACTTAAAAAATGAACTTTTGAGGGGGATTTAGGAGCTGTGCCCCATATCGGATTTTTTGGGATTTTTAGCCAGTTATATAAAACCTCAAAAGAAACACAATGGCGCAAAAATTAGCTTGTAGGGAATTTGTTTGAGGTTAGCTCAAAATAGGCCTAGTTTTACTAGCCTATATCATCCAAGATAAAGATACCCTCCTGTCTTAACTGTAGAAAAAATAACATATCAGTGTATACAATTTCTGTTATCGTTGGTTCAATAATGGAAATGGTCTGTATTATTTCCTAATAGAGATTACACACCAAACTGTTACTTTTGGTGTAGGTATCTCCATTTGACGAGTTCCAGAGAAAATACTCTGGAACTTGTAAAATTTTCTTGGAAATTGTATTTTAACTTAGTTGATATCTAATTAGACAGTTACAATTTTTTTTGTCATAGTGATATCAAATACCTACAACATGAAGTTACATGTGTTTACAAACCTTGCGTTCGGTATTTTGCACGAAGAGCAGAGCGTGCTGAGCGGAGCCGTAATCACGTGACCAGCGAGGGAACAGAGCAGTTGAACGCTAAATAAAAGTGCCAGAAATTTTAATAAACGAACGCGAATGAGGCTGCACCGAGTACACTTTTTGAATAAACGAACGATAAAGTCATACTCGGAGAACTCAGACCAAAATAACGAACGCACGAATACCAAGATTTCGATTTTGATTTTTTACCTCTAACTTCAAGTTTTAGGGACGATGTCTATTGGTACATGGATACCTTGAATTGTAGGGATGGTCTAAGGGGTTGGTCTAAATAACTACATGGTAGTTGTATTTTCTTTATTAATTAAATCTTTAATAACTAATTTCACACAATTAGAAGCAAGGATATTACACACTTCTTCGCCGCTAACTACTCAACATCTACGTCATCACTTAAATTAAAAATGACCATAATTGAGCGCGAAATTCAAATTTTAAAATTTAAATTCCTACAGAATATTAATCTTTTTTTGACGTTGTGATATACAGGGTGTTCCATTAAAAATAGTGGAGAATTTTGATGTTGAAAAACTGATTTTTCTTACTACTTGCCCTGTTTAAGTTTCAAAAAATGTACAACCCACTAGAAAAATCTTTAGACCAAGAGAAATCGAATGGCGCAAACCAAAGGTAGCTAGCACACCTGATTTAAAAGTTATAACCATTTGAAATGGTTCACGTTTGGCTGGGACTCTGGGACACCCTGATATTATAAAATTAGATGCAAATATAATTGAAATGAAACAATGGCTCACCTGCATGTTATATTTTATAGACAATGAATAATTGTTCCACTTTTCCCATGCTATCTAATCACTTACAATGTTATTAATGTTATTACTTTATTTGAATTCTATTTTTTTAAAGATAAAAATGTAAATTGTAAATATAAACAAACATCAACAACAACATCACCACAGCCAGCAGCTGTGCATTTGCACTGCCTCATTTGACATTTAATAGCGCTTTCGACTTTTACCTCAAAACTACACCCGATTACCAATCACTCTATAGTTGTATTCCTTTCCAGAGTATTGAACACTCGAGCTACTCGCCCTGGAGTTAGTCGACCCCGATTTTAAAGGATGAGATGCGGGGAGCAGTAAACACTTTTTGAAAGGAATAAGCGCGTAACGCCACGAAGCTGTTCCGGAGCTTCTCCTAGGTGTGAAAGGAATGCAACTTATGCCCAATTTATCAAAAAGCGATCCGGAACGGATTCACATGTTCGGGAACGGAGCATTGCTCTCGGCAAGATTCACGTGTTCGACTTTGAGCAATATTAGAAAGCACTCAACTCTCGCACGGGCCACTCTTTGTTGTTCCGTTAAAATTCGATGGATCAAAGAGTTTGATCAAAATTCAATACAAAGTACGTGCGGCTATCGATTTCAAATGATGTGCCTTCGTTTGGATGATAATCGCTCACAGCACTCCCGCAGAGATATGTGATATGTGACGTCACCGCCCAGACGGGAAACGCTCTGGGTCGTTATTCTTGAAACAGGGGAGCCGCGTTCCCAGGAGAACGAGTCTTTGTTATTTGTTACTTATATTATTATTTGCATATCATTGAGAAAGACGAAACACTCGTTCTTGGGATCGTCACTGCTAGCTTGTTTCAAGAATTAGGACCCTGGGGACTTAGGGAGCTCGATTAAGGTAGAGCGAATTGTGACAATTCAAGATTTTGGTACAAGAACCGAAAGCTTTAGAAACTACCGGGAACTAGTTCAGGAATCGATTCGGAAACTTCGGAACCATTTATAGTTAACCCGCGAACAAAGAACAGAAAGTTCGGAGTAAAGAACGACAATTAAAAATGTATTTTTACTTTTTCTGCTTCGCTGTAGTTGCTGTAATCTTTTTACAAAAAACATGGTTCATGCGCAAAAGTGTAATTAGGCAATCCAAACCACGTGACTTTTTTTGACGGATTGTCGGCACACAAAAGATTTTCTTTAATGTCCTTGCCGTAAATAGGACCCCTGGGGTCCTATTTTCGAATATTTTCGCATACGAAATTTCATACGATTTCGAATGCTTCCCATTTAATTTACATTGCTGTCAGTCAATTTTTGTGTACGAAATGTACTCGAATGGTTTCGAAAATCGCTCCCCTGAGCGGTTGAACGCAGTATTTGAGTGCCCGAAATTTTAATAAACGAATGCAAATGAGCTTGCTCCGAGTACACTTTTTGAGTAAACGAACGGTAAATTCAAGCTCGGAGAACTCTGATCAAAATACCGAATGCACGGTGGGTCGTTTTCTGTGTTGACTACGTATTTTGCTGCTTATTGCTTAATTTTGTGAGTTTTGAGACCTAAAAAAACGCACACTCACAATAATTTAGAAATATTCTGAAAGGAAATTTGTGAAAAGCTGGAATTAATTATTTTAAAATTCCCAACGTCAAAGGCGACGCCCTAGCTGTTCAGAAATGCAAGACGGTGCTATGGGCCCAATGGCCAATTGTCAATTCAGACACACCCCTAAAATCGTACTCGCACCCTGTGCGTTATTTCTGAACTCGGCCCAGGTAAAGCGCCCTTGTCTAAGGCTCCTACGGACATAAGGAATAGGAACGCGCCATTCTGCTTATGAAACTAAAGTGAAGCCAAGTTTTTGGCAGGTGTTTGGCACCAAAATAAAGGTAAAGCATTGAATTGCCTATACTGCCATTTTTTTGGTGCCAAAATACCTGGAAAGAAACGGCTTCATTTTCCAAATCCAGGTTACTAAAAAAAAAATTCTCCTCTTTACCTTTACCTGCTCTAAGGTGCCAACAGTCGGCCATATTTGACACATCGTTGGATTGCTTAATTAAATCGAAATCGTCATTACACCAACCGTTTCGTGTGGCTTTTTAACAAATCTGTAGTAACTTCGTTCACACAGTGGAGCAAAAAAGTCTCCCCTCGGCAAACGAGATTTTTCTGAGGACGTATATTTACTCACCTCCGAATTGCCGAACTTAAACAGATAACTCTTTACTCTTTTCACGCTTAAAAGCCATACCTGAACGGTCGAAGTATTTAGAGTACGCATACTGAACGAATCGGGCTTGTTTTAGTACAAGAAGGCTGTGAATTTGTTTTTTTTTTGGGATAGACCATTGGATAGGCCCAAGGTTGTTTTAAAGCAACAATAATACTAATACACACTACTGAGGATTGATTATCGGCTTCGTTTATGGTAATCGCAGTCATATTAATGAGTCACCATTTCCGACGTCATAACTAAGTAGTCAGATGTTTGCACGAGCGGTGATGTTTCAGGAGCCACATGTAAAGTGCGTTTTTTTTTTTAAAGATAAAAGTCAAAATGACATTATGTTGGCAATACAATGTAAAATTGTCAATGCTTTCAAATTTTTTAAGTTGGAAATGCTTGTGTTGCCAACATAGTTACTAAATTTTTAACTTGGGGAATTATCTTTAAAAAAAAATAGACTTTATCCACTTTGGATACAAACTGGTTTTTTTATTTTTGGCCGTGTGTATCCACGTTAGATGCAGACTTTGCACTTTTTTGCAACTTTGACAAACTAGGATTAGTGCGAAAAAAGTGAGCCATAATATTGACAATCATATTTAGATAAATATACGCCACTGCCAAACCGGAAACACTAGCCGGCCATATGCAACCTCCACATATTCTGGTGGCACAGATTCGAGGTTATGCTCCTTCCTGTAGTTTTAGTTTTATATTCAAAGATTAAAGCCTAGTACTCATCACTGCGAAATTCGCATTTTTTTGACATTGCTTCGACAATTTGACGTTTGATACACGCATAAAACGTCAAATTGTCAACGCTATGCCAAAAAAATGCAAATTTCGCAGTTATGGAGTACTAGGCTTAATTCTAGAGCAAAATCGATCTTACATTGGCGGAGTTCGGTAATTCCATCTTCGAGCAAAAACAGCAAATTTTGACGGACGTCACGTGATTACTTATCTTTTGTTCACGTGTCAAATCACGTTAAATCTGTCAAATTTTGCTCGCAGATGCAATTACCAAACCCAGTCATTAATAAACCATTATTTAACAGCAACTTTGAAAATAACCGGAGATTAAATCTAATTCGAATTATTAATCATGTAATGTATTTCTCTCAATCAAGGGACCAGAGCTGGGCAAAGCACACGAAAAAAGTGCTTGGAGCACCAAGCACCAAACCCTTAGGAAAAGGAATTGCCAGCATCAAGCACCAAGCACTTTGGAAATTCTTAGTGCTTGCAATTATCAATTACCAAGGAAAGTAATTGCACAATTCAATTACCAAGCACCTGTAGCAAAACGCCCCAAGTACTCTATGTAATTGGTTAGATGGTAAATGGCGAGCGGTATATTGATGGTGTTTATTTCCTTGGAGCTGCTACCTATAAAATTGTGGAAGGGTCTATTTGCAAAAGAGAAATAAACTATTGAGGTTTACTAAATTATATTTTATTATACATAAAACCAAAAATTTAAATCAGCAAAATATTTTTCAATTCTGACAGCCTCATCTATTTTTCTAAATTCAATTATTTCACATCTAGGCCAGGGCAGATAAATTTTTTCGTAACATAAAATTTAACAGTAAACTATCGATGCAGTATTATTAAGGATCATTTATAAATGCTAAAAACCAAAAATGCAACATCTAATTACTTTTAGGGGATTTTATAAACAATATTTAGTGCAAAAATAGGGCTTTTTTTTGTTTATTTCACTGTATTCCGAAAACTAATGATCGGATGGTTTTGCTACTTTGGCAATAGTTTTAGATCATTGAACAAGCGTCAAAATGAGCCATCATACAACCCTGTAGGTCTTTTAGTCTTCGAGAAATGATTTTTTTCCCCCCAAAAAGATTTTCGTAAAAAATTCCTAACTTTTTTAATTTTCATGCTAGACAATTAATTTTTTACACATACATAGTAGAAGAGGCAGGCATACAGGGTTGTATGATGGCTCATTGTAAAGCTTGTTCAATGCTCTAAAACTATTGCCACAGTAGCAAAACCATCCGATCATTAGTTTTTGAAATACAGTGAAATAAACAAAAAAAAGCCCTATTTTTACACTAAATATTGTTTATAAAATTTCCTGAAAGCAACTAGATGTTGCATTTTTGGGTTTTAGCATCTATAAATGATGCTTAACTGCATCGATAGTTTGTTGTTAAATTTTATGTTACGAACAAATTTATCTGCCCTGGCCTATATCCCCTTTATTTATTACTTGCCTGCTGGCCTAATAGTAGGTACTCATTAAAATAAGAAAAAAGTCAACAGAAACATAAGTCCTCAAATATTGTCTGGCTAGCGAAACGGCGAACTCCAATAGAATTTGCTGCTTTGCCAAACTTGACGGAAATGATAATAATTAAGTTGGTGACATATTTTTGTTGCTATATGGGCCTGTATAATATTTTGAAATAGAAAAAAATCCGGCAACATTGCGAAAGGATGGATGTGGAGAGGCGTGATTCTATTGGTTAGAGCCTGAATGACAGCATGCAGTGGCGTGGTTATCGGCGAAACTACAGTTTTTTTTCTAATAATTTTATTGGTTTATTTCCTTGGTGTTTTCGGTGGCACTGAACTCAAAGACATGTCTGTCATCAGGCGGTGTCAGTTAAGGTGTCAGTGAATATCTTTAGGTTATGCCCCACTTTTCTTCCCCCTTTCGTCTCTACCAAGTTACCACTTGCTAGACTATACTTAGTTTTCGAGCAGTGTTGCTAGAATTGAAGGATTTCCTTCAATATGGAGAGTTTTGGTCTAAAATTTTGACTACTGAAGGATTGAAGGTTTTTATCCGAATTTGAAGGATTTTGAGTAAAGGTGAGTTGCGATTTCACGAACTGTGACTTTGTCACTGCTACTCGTCTGTCACAGTCACGACCTGCTCCAGTCCCACTCAAGTAGCAGTGATATTTTGTCACAACC